ATCAATATTCAGAATATATAAAGGACTCAAAAACAACATCAAAATACCCAAATAACCCAATTAATAATAGAAAAATGAACTAAGCAGACACTTCTCCAAAGAAGAAATTCAAATGACCAACTAATATATGAAAAATATTCAACATATTTATCAATTAAGGTAAGTGCAAATAATAAATACTCTGAGATTTCATCTCACTACTGTCATCAAGAATACAAACAATTATAAATGCTGGTGATGGCATGGAGAAAAATAAACATTCTTATACTGTTGGGGGAATTGTAAATTAGTGCAACCACTATGGAAATCAATATGGAGGTTCCTAAAAAGACCAGAAGAAGAACCACCATATGATTCAGCTATACCATTATTACTCAGTATACATTCTAAAGAATTAGAGACAGCATATTAGAGTAATACATGTGTATCCATGTTTATAGCAGCACAGTTCACAATAGTTAAACTACAGAATTAGCCTAGTTGTCTATCACTGAATGAAGGAATAAAGAAAATGTATATGTACATCTATCAATCTATCTATATCTCTATTTATCTATATATCTATATACACATAGATTTCTTTTATTCCTTTAAATATATATCTATATCTGTCTCTTTATATGTGTGAGCACACACAAATACACATAAAAAAAAAAAAAAAAAAAAAGTTCCATATATATATATATATATATATATATATGGAACTTTAGAACATAATGTTAAATAAAATAAGTCAAATTCAAAAGGTCAAGTGTCATATGCTTTTTCTCGTATTTGGAAGCTAGTAAGGATAAAGAAAAATAAAGGTGTGTGTGTGTAAGAGAGAAAATTCATGAAAATTGAAGGGAGATCAGCAGAGAAGAGGAAGGAGAACAGCAGGTGGAGAAGAGGGGAGTGAAAGCCATAGTACTGGGGAATGATATTGACCTAATCATCAGGTTGCATTGTGCGCATGTATGCATATGTAACAAAAAAATCCCACCATTATATATGATTCTATGACAGTCCATTGCAACCATATGTGCTAAAATGTGTTCCTTCTAAGCTGATCTAGAATATTTATATTGGCTTATTAAGGTTTTTTTTCCCTTCATAGAATAAAAGTTGCATAGAAAATAGACTAATTTGTTGCTTTTCAGTTTTTCTTACCGACCAGCAAAGGCTATGTTAGCAATCCAGAATCTAATTTTACAGTTTTTTAAGAGTGCAGTTTATTTTTCATGAGTTATGTGTTTTGAATACATTTATAATTCATATCTTGCTTATTTAATAACAAATTGGGGATTCTATTTCAAATTCTGTTTCTAGTGAAGGTTGAGGAAAAAAGTCTTTTAGATTTCCTGATATAATTTAAGGAGTCTTATCAACATTTGTATGGAATTGAGGCTGAAGTTCACTCCTCTTCCTCTTTTAAAATATTATTATACTAAGTTACAGTCATTTATTTATTTGGAAGATAGGTCAAAAAATGCAAAATAAGGTTCAAATTTGAAAAAAATATTGCCTGTGTGCTCTGACAAAATTATGAAAATGGAAGAAACATTAAAGAGAGATAGAGCAGGCATCTATGCACTTTAGGATACTCTTTGGACATGAATGCTTTCCTTATGTTATCTAGGGTGGTGAAACCAGGCCTATCTATCTCTGATATAGTGCTCTAGGTCTCTAGCTATTTCATTTCTACAGAGATTCTAAGGTTAATTTGATATTGATCATTTATTTTAGACACAACTTGAGTAAATATATGTGGGAGGCTACTTTAGGCAAAGAAAAAAATCAGAGAGATATCCAGAAAAATATAAGTTCACAAAGTAAGAAAAGCTACTAGATAACATGCAGAAGAACCAAAATTTTACATCTTAGAAAAGATGTAAATCTATTGTGATACTTGGTAGTCAAATTTTACTTTGACTAAATGTTACTGTAGTTGTTGGTAAAAAAATATTTCTTACTGTGGATTTTGTATCTGAGTTAAGTTTTGCCTATTTATTTTCTGTAGGAATAGTGAACATTTTGCTCTCCTCTTTTCTGACAGGGTATTACTTGCATATCTTGATCCATTTTTCTTTTTCTTTTTAATTTAATATTTAAATTTCACTCAAAGAGAATTTAGCTTGTATGGCTTATTGGCACTGAGTAAATTTTGTCCTTAGGAAATTGGTGGAAGCACAAACTATTGCCACTCATAGGTTTTGGGTTACATATTTTTTTTTGTGTGTGTGTGGCACTGGGGATTGAACTTGGGACCTTTTGCATCCTAGGCAAACACTTTGTTCTACTGAGCAGCATCCTCAGCCTTCAGGTTAGCCACTGAGCTGTTGACTTTTAAAAGATTCCTCCAAATCCCTACTTGCCCCCATGAATAATCTCATGTGAATATGTAAATTCTGCACTCAAAAATCCTTATATCTGAGGGGAACTTCAGGGAAGAGCAAGGATCTCTGGCTGACTGGGATATACTAGCTCTTTGCAGGGGATGCTGGGTGTGACAGGGCTCTGAGGGAGGAAGGTATTTTCTTATGGATTTTTGTTTCTACCTCTTTATGAGTGTAACTGCTTGTCTTAGTTCATGTTGCTAGAACAAAACACCTGAGACTGTGTAATTTATAAAGAACAGAAATTTGCTTCTTATAGTTCTGGAGACTGGAAGTTGTAGATTGAAGTGTGGGGAATTTTGCTGTTTGGTGAGGGTCCACTCTCGGCTTCCAGGTTGGCAGCTTGACTGCTGTGTCCTTATATGGGGGAAGCAATGAACAGATAAAAAAGAGCCTATCAAGTTCCCGAATGTCAACCCTTTTATAAGAACACTAATTCCACTCATGATTCTGCCCTTGGGACTTAATCACCTCACAAAGACCCTACTACTTAATGCTATAATATTCGGGTTTAAGTTTCAACATGTGAATTTTGGAGGGATGCATACTTTCAAACGATAATACCATCCTTTAAGAAAACATACATTTCTATAAAAAATAAATTATACTAAATATTCTCACCTTTTAATTTTAGATCTTCCATTTCCTGGCAGTGTTGATATGCTCATAACTACTGATTCCCAATTTTCTCATTTCTAAAATGAGAATATTACCCAAGGGTTTGTTGTGAAAAGAGGAGCAGATAGAGTGCCAGAAACTTGGTAAGTGCTGAACAACTGTAAGCTATTATAATTGTGATAGAAATAGTCTATATTTACTGGTTAAATTTGTAGCTTTTTTTCCATAGAGTTTGTTTTAAATATTTTTGATTTTTTTATCTTTGTAATTCAAGTCAAATGACTTTTAAATATAGTCAAATTTAACTAAGCTCTTTTTGTTTTAAAATTCTTATGGTTATTTAGTTAGGTTCTAGAATATTCCCTTTGAAATTTTATTTCCCATCTCTTATTCTATTTACATTTTCATTCTTTTTTATATTTTCATTCTTTCCTCTTGTGTTTACATATGTGTACATAAATATATGAGTTTATTTACTTATTTTAGGTTTTTTTTTATATAATAGAGGCTCAAATGAAAGTAAGGCTGCAGGAATGGTGATAATCTGCTCTTATCACAAAAAAGCGGTGACAGCCTTTTCCCCAGTTTTCCCTTACTGTGTTTTACAGAGCTCCCAACAGGCATAAGGAAGCAAAATCTTGAGGGAGTTGGGACATCCCTGAGGTAATTTTCCCCATGATTATAGTTTTCTTTAAGCATATGGAACACAACTTTTGCCAAAACAGAATGGTCTTGTGACATCCATTAATCTAAGTATTATTTTTACTCTCGTTTTTTTTTTCTATTATTAATGCTACTTCCTAGGAACACACTTGGATAAACAATGGAATTCATTTATGTTTTATATATGTTTACTAAAAATTAAATCATTTCCTACTCATTAATTTATGTACCCAATAAATTAAGTACTGCGTGTTTCTGCACCACTCTGTCTACCATTTAATTGTATAGTAAATATAGCTACTAACCATATGCAGTTAATTGAGTACTTGAAATATGGCTGGTATGACTGGGGAATGGAATTCCAATTTTATTTAACTATTTTAAATTTGAAGTTTTAATATTAAAGCAGTGTAAGATAATTTCTCATTAAGCAACTTTTTTGCTATGTAAAATATATCATTGATAATTTTTTAGGTGTTGAAATGTATTAGATATTGCCATGATTTTATATGTGTTTCCCAAAAGTCATGGACTGAAAGCTCTGTCCTCAGTGTGGCAGTGTTGACCATTGGTGGGACCTTCAATAGGTGGGGCCTCTGGAGGGGTAAGTAGTACATGAGGGGATCATAATGCAATTCTCATGGGATCTCAGTGAGTTTTCACAGGAGTAGGTTGTTAGAAAGTGGTTACTTATCATGATTGTAACATGTAGTCATTTATCTTCCTACTTCTCCACCATGTTGTGACACAGCCACCAGACCATCAACAGAGGTCAAAAATGGGGTCGCTTGATCTTGGACTCTCAGCCTCCAAAACAGTGAGCTAAACAAACCTCTTTTCTTTATGAGTACCTGGTTTTAGATATTTTGTTGTAGCAACTGAAAATGGACTAATACCAAATATATTTTGTTATATTAAAATAAATGACTACAAGCCAGGCATGGTGGAGCACACCTGTAATCTCAGTGGCTTGGGAGATTGAGACAGGAGAATCACTGAGTTAAAAGCAAGCCTCAGCAATGGCGAGGTCCTAAGCAACTTAGTGAGACCCTGAATCTAAATAAAATACAAAAAATAAGGCTGGGGATGTAGCTCGGTGGTTGAATGCTTCTGAGTTCAATCCCTGGTGCCCCCTCGCCCAAAAAATATATATTTTATAGTCATATATATATCATATATATATATATATATATATATATATACACACTACAATTAATCTCACCAGTTTCTTATTAACTCTGTAGCTACTAGAAAATTACATACGTAGTTTATATCAAATTTTGTTTGGCTAGCGCTATCATGCACTATCATAGGTACTCTAATGTCTGTCAAGAAGTTAGTACAGTGCTTTCTTTGGCAGCACAAACACTAAAATTGGAATGATATAGAGAAGATTAGCATGGCCCCTGTACAAGGATGAAATGCAAATTTGTGAATTGTTCCATATTTTTTTATGGCATTTGCAGGTAAATGGATGGAGTTAGAGATTATCATGCTAAGTGAAGTAAGCCAATCCCCCAAATTCAAAGGCCAAACGTTCTCTCTGATAAGTAGATGCCGATCCATAGTGGTGGGGGGGCATGGAAAGAATGGAGAAACTTTGGGCAAAGGGGAAGGAGGGGATCAGAGGGGAGGGGCATGGGGGCAGGAGAGATGGTGGAATGAGATGGACATCATTACCCCAGATACATGTATAACTGCACATATGGTGTGATGCTACATCATGTACAACCAGAGAAATGAAAAGTTGTATTGCAATTGTGTACAATGAATCAAAATGCATTCTGCTGTCATACATAACCTAATTAGAGTAAATAAATAAATAAAATTTTAAAAAAGAAGTCAAGACAAAGTAATATCAAAGTAATATGTGGAAAAGATATGATGAATTAGTAGAAATTTTAAGAATTTATAAAAAGAAAAGTTAATCATGATTCAGAAAGAGTTAGTAAAGAAACAACTAAGGATACATATTCATTGGAGCCTGAAGGTTGGAGAGAATGTTTATAGAGCAAGAGGAAAGCAATGACCAAAGTCCTAGGAGTAATAAAATGGTGACCTAGCTGAGAAGAATGATTGAGAAATGATATCACAAAATGTAGGAATTAGAAGGAATTAAAGATTCTTGTCAGAGTTCTGACCTTGTGTAAAAAATTCTTTATTCTGTCAGCCTTAATAAATGCTCATTTTATACCTACTGTGCTGGGCATAATCCAGATGCTAGTGAAACAGCAGCCAATTAGAGAGACAGATCCTTACTCTTGTAACATTCTAGTTGGAAGAGTAACTTAAAAATAAATGAACAACAAAAAACAATTTCAGATCTTGGTCATACTTGAAAGAAAATAAAATGATGATAGCTATAGAGAGATTTTAACTTCAGCTAATTTAGATAAGGTAGTCAAGATGGCCTCATGAGAGAAATATCATGGAGGCTAAAAACAGAATAAAGAATTGCCAACCACAACTAGATGTGGAAGTAGAGTATTCAGCAGATGAACTGACAAATGGAAACTTCTTAGGAAGAAGGAGTGTGGTGTGTTCTGGATGCAGAAAGGTTCTGTGGCTGGGCATGGGGGATGTAGGCAGAAGGTAGATTATATCTGACCTTAGAAACCAGTATAAAGATTCTGCATTTACTCTATGCCTTGGATGACTATCCAAGAGTGTTAATCCCCTGATATGAAATGATTTCCTGATGTTCTGCAGAGAATGGATTGTGGGGTGAAAGATAAGAATACTCCACCTTTTGTGACCTGGAAATCATGTCTCCCTCTTCTGCATTCCTGTACAACTTTATTTATACTTTTCCTAGGACACATTTCCTTTTCTACTTTGTATTCTGATTATTTAGTTCAAGTCTTAACTCCACTATCTGAGAAGAATTCAGTCTGATCGATATTTGCTTCTTCCATAGTCTCAGCAGACTGCCTTAAGTATAATAAATCTTTATGAATATTTATTAAGTAAATGAATCATAGAATGGATGATTCAGACTCTGCTTGAATACCTTTGATGATGAAAAGAGCGGAGTTTTATAAAGCAACCCATTCCATTGTTGGAAGGCTCTAGATGGTTAAAAAATATTTCACCAACTGATTCAAGATGAAAATTTCTTTCATTTGCAATTATTCATCTTTAGTCTTCCATTTATCTGTGGAGTAATAAAAGAAATAAATTCCCTTTCTCACAAAAACATCCTTTGTTTATTGCTGACAGGTATTATTATTCACACACATTTTTATTTTAACCATTCCCAATCTTTTCAATTGCTTTTAGACACATTTTAAAAATTTACTCACTCTCCACACAACTGTCTTCAGTACACTTTATTATAACCACCTTAAAATATGATGTACAAAATTGAATTTGATATGTCAAGTGGGTCTGAAAATTTTAGAATACATGGAGTCTGTTACTAATTCAGGGTAGAGTTATATATAGATATGGGCTGAACTGTTAATATTTTTAGTGACTTCATCAAAATATAGGTTCATATTAAAATGTTTAATTGCATTATTAAGATACATCTGAACTGATTGTAAATGAATGAGTGAGTTCTTAGGACCTATAGCTGTGGACTTGTCAGAGGTTCCTTGAAGCAATTGAAATTGGCAGCATAGGGTCAAGAAACACAGAGCCCTCCAATGGTGTGATTAAGGTTAATAAGTAGCAGTGCTAACCTGGTAATGGGCATCATCTTTCTAAACCACAGATATGCATTTACCAGAGATATTAATTCCCTTAATCTCCTACTCTCAACTAGGCTTTGTTAACTCCCAAGGAGACAGAATAAAACACAAGATAAATACAGTAGAGTCTGGAGTTAGCTATACTGCAATGTTTGAGGTTTCAGTCCTCTAGGAAATGGCCCTCTCTTCTGACACCTAACTGCAAGTGTGTGGGTTCCCTTGGCCACTCTCAGGTTCAATAATTCAGAAGAAGGATTCACAGAACACTCTGAAAGTTATTTTTACCAATAATTATTGCTTACTGTAGAGAAAGAACACACATATTAAACTGAACCAAAGAAAGATACATATAGTGTAGTTTAAGATGATTCCAATGTGAAGCTTCTGTGGAGCTGTGATGAGTTATCCTTCTGGAATGCTATGTTGGAAATACCCATGAAGTACTGCTAACCAGGGAAGCTCACCTCAATTTCCATGCTTAGAGTTTTTTATTGGGGTTTCATTATGTAAGTATGACTGCTTGATTGCCAACACAATTGAACTCAATATCTAGGTTGACTGGTAATGAGTGACCCAAAGTTCCATCACTAAGCCACATGGTCATTCTTTCTGGTCAGTATAGCTCCTCCCTTAAGCAAAGATCCACCTAACAAGGTATGACATATACTACCTCCCAGAGCTGAGAGCAAGGGCAGACCTCTCTTTGGGAAAACCCAAATCCTTAACTATACCAATGGGAAGTATTTTAGTTTTATAACATTATGTGAAATATTTGTGTGTTGTTATTTAATTTTGCTCTTATAAAGTACAATGCACAAGTATAATGAATTTTAAAGATAAAACAGGAATTCGAAGACACTTTGAAGTAGTTCTTGGGCATCTCTGCTGAGTGTATGATGGAAAGTTTGTGAAGGCCTGTCTTAGTCTAAAGCAAGGGTTGGCCTACTATGCCTCTGGAATGAGTCCTGCCTGTTCCTGTCTTTGTAAATAGTGTTTAACTGAAGTATATTCATACTCATTCTTTCACATAATGTTTATGGCTGTTTTTGATGGCAGAGTTGAGTGGCTCTGAAAAAATCATATGACCCTCAACATCCAAAATATTTACTAAGAGGCCTTTGCAGAAAATATTTGCAGATTCCTGATCTAATAGATTATTAATTGACCAGCTCTGGGGAAAAGGCAGTTTTATAATAGAAGAATGCTAGATGAAACAGAAGGACCTTCTTCCTAGCACATCTCACAGGTGCTAATTCCAACTCTAATCTGCATTTAGATTTGGCATGGGTCATAAAATTATAAAGTCAGAAGTAATCATTAAGACCACTTCTAATCTACTTAGGCTTCTCTTTTTTCAAACTTTATGAAATGAACCATTTTTTCTTGAATCACTTTCATTGATTGGCTCAGCAATTACCTTGAAAAATGGTAGAGAAAAATGAGTACAATCTGTATTTTATTTGTCTGAATAAAGCATCATGGTTAATATATTGCTTGGCTTAATTATATTGGCTTTTATAGTAAGCCTTACCTTATCTCTCTATCTTACTCTAATTATTTTTATTCTTTTAGTGTCCTAATATCTTCTATTCTTCTATGTAAAATGCAATTTTTAGTTTTTATTTAAGTAAGTCATCTTGAATCTTTTCTGGAATAAGATATGATATTTCCCAATAGGTGATGAAGCCAAAGGGTGTCCTAAAATTCCCTCCCCACATTTTTTTTTGATAGAAAAAAGTGCATGCATCACAAATCTGTTAACCTAGAAGCTTAATGGTCTTCCTTCGCCTGATATATGAGGAATATCTCAAATACTGTCGATTCAAAAACAAGAATTAGTAACAATTTGCTCCTTTTTTCTGAAGTTCATCTTGAATAATAAAAAATTTGTCATTGTTTTATTGTATTTTTTGATTGGCATGTCTTCACTGGGAATTATGGTCTCAAAGACCAGATTCTTGAATATAACATGAAGTCAATATTTTAGCCGCATTTTAAGAACACAGGTTCCTACACAAAACAAGTGAAATTTTGACAACACAGTCAATATTTTTAGGAGTTTCTAGTTCTTTGGTGAATTCACATCTAAAAATATAATCTGTTATTGAGAAAACATGCCAAAGGAAAACATATTTTAAATAGAAAGACTATCTTGATTTCCTTGCACCTAGAAGTAACTGAAGGTATGTTTTTTTTATTTTTCTAGGAAAAGTTATTCTTCCAGTGAATGCAGGGACCAAAAACCTGTTGTTACGTAATAAAATAAATTAAATTAAAAGTGTCTAGGTAGGATGGAGTGGTTGTGACAGAATGCATAAGGCATAAAGCAACAACTAGAATGAATGAACCAAATATAAAAATAATCTATTAAGGGTGCAAAAGAACTGCTCTGCAAAAAGAGCTCAGAGTTCATATTTGGGAGAAGAGAAAACTGTGGAGTTACAGCCTGACATTCTACGACTGCTTTTTCCCTGGGTGCGTTTGATAATCTGGCTATAGGCAAGAAAATGAATACACTGGTTTTAGACCAAACCAAATTAATGTCAGAATAAAACAGCAGAATTTTGATAAGCCCAAGAGAACGGAGTGACAAAATTGAGGATTAAAGGAACACCGAGGAGCTTTACTCCCAAATATTTTGCCAAATTCTGAAACTCTGTGGTGGTAAGAGGCTAAAACCATAAGCAAAGAACTCTGAAAAGCAGAGCAAAATTTTTGTTAGTCTCCCAGTGCTAAAGTTATAATGATTAGAGTTTGAG